GGCTGTGTGTGTGGTATGTGCTGTTCGCGGCGCGCACGTGTGTTGTGGTTGTACGTTCATGGTGCGTACTGTGTGCGTGAGTGCGTGCGTGTGTGTGTGTGTGTGTGTTGTGTCGTGTTGTGTGTGGTTGTGTGTGTGTGTCGTGTGTGTGTGGGTGTGTGTTGTGTCGGGTGTGTGTGTGTGTGTGTGTGCCCCTGTGTTCCGTGGCTAGAGACCGTCAGCTACATCGAGGCCTGTAGTCAACGACGTCGCCGTCCAAGCATACCCAACGTGTGTGTCTGTGCGTGCATGTGTGTGTGTGTGTAATGTGTGCGCGCGCGTGTGTGTGTGTGCATGACCGCGCCTTACGTAAGATGTATTCAATGTTCATGTATATACAAGTATTTCAATAATATCAGGTGTTAATGATCTTACAAGACCTTATAATATCATTATAACACCTGATATTATGCATATAAACTGTAGATGCCACTGCGTTGACCCGTTATCAGTGTAAGAACAAAGTCAAGCCTCAGCCAAACATCGCCGTCATTAAGACTGAAACACATATCCCTAGCGCGGGCTTTGACGCTCTTCCCGCCAACGCACGCGTTTTCTACTAAGCCTTCTACTCCGCTCGTCACCTCACGATGTTGACAGCAGTGCTCGAATTTCGCAAGTACGCATGTATGATGGCTGTTGCTCAAACATCGTTATACGTTGTTCGTTTTAGAAATCAGACATGCAGTCGCGACGTGCCCTCCGGTACGACGTGCATCGATTCACTCGCGACCAACCTTTTCTGCGTATGGTCACACCGAGCCGCGAGGTGGCACTCGCGTCGACGTTGGAAGCTCGGTGATCTTATTTCGCAATTTCATCATTTCTATACGTCCGAGAGTTTGCACGGGAATCCTTTCTCTCGTCCGCATAGCAGCACCACCCCCTCTCTCTCTCTCTCTCTCTCTCTTTCCTGATCTCCCGCTGTGACGACTTTGCTTCAATTTGAGCGGAATCGAATCTCAAAGAGCGGATCTGCGTCAGAGCCATTTCGAGCGTTTATAGTGGGCAGATGCTCAGACTGGGACGCCGTTAAACTCCAGCCCCCCTCCCCCTTCACGGCCACCGTCGTCCGCTCGTATACCATTTCCTACTCGGGGATGATCGTTTCCTCGGGAATCTCCGCCAGTTTGATAGAGACGTACACAGCATGGATGTTTTCGTTGCTTACCCTGTCTCTTAGTCTCTCCCCCGTCTCCTATCATAGCATGACAGCGGCAGGAGAGCGCCGCAACGAATGACGCGTGCTTAAAAATTAACGTAACGTTTACGATCAACTTCGATTTTTTTTGCGGGGAAGCGTAATTTAAAATGTACGATAATTTAAACGCAATTAATTAGCTACTCGACCGCAGCTCCGGATTGCCGGCGGGGCCACCACGAGCGGCGAGCGTCCGCGCGTCGGTGTATAGAGCGAGACAAGTGGCTCGCCGGGAACAGGGTATACACACGCTGGCGAGCCTATAGTCGCAATGTTAACCACGCGCGCGGGCGCGGTGATGAAAATCCTAGAGCTCCTCGAAAGAAAGCGTTTCCTCCTCCTCTTGCGGGAGGAAATGAAGCCGGGAGAGTAAGAGTGCGCGAAAGAAAGAGAGAAATCGAGCGAGAGCGATAGAGAGAGAGAGAGAGAGAGAGAGAGAGAGAGAGAGAGAGAGAGAGAGATAGACAAAGAGAAGGCTTTGATGGTGCCCCAGCAGACCATAACGTCATACCACTCAAGCCACTCGCTCTGATCATCTTCATCATTGTCTATACCGAACCTTGGAATCATAGCTCGCGTCACCGGCAACAGGCGTTGCTAGGAGCAATACTCTATATAGATGGCGCGATTGCGCGTGGCGACGAAATGCAGTTTTAGCCGCCGTCGTATCTATAGGCGTGGCGCACACTCGGCAGGAGATAGGCGCGCTTTTACGCCACAGCTGGATTGGCCGCAGCCGCGTAATCGTGTTGGTTTCCCGAGGAATAAGCTTATGCTTAATGAAATCTTAATACGAAACATGCGAGCGACGTCTCGCCGATTAACGGTTGCAAGCTATATTGATGTTCGTGTGAGACAAAAACGCACAATCACAAGTGAACCGCACAATAAACGTCATTTCGGTACTAAAAGTACGTCCGTCTCAGCACTGCGGGGCGTGGCTCTAATGTTCCTCTCCTGGTATAGATATATTCGTGGCGTAGAGGGAGCCTGTGTTAACATTACGGAGCGTGGTTTCCATTGCGCTTCTCCTGGTAGCTGCAACTTTGGAGGTATAGGAGAGCTGGGTCCGCATCACGGGGTGTGATTCTAATATTCTACTCCTGATAGTTACCTCCGCGTAAAACGGAGGTCATGCAATCGCTCTCGTGTGTGTGTGTGTGTGTGTGTGTGTGTGTGTGTGTGTGTGTGTGTGTGTGTGTGTGTGTGTGTGT